GGGTGAGGACTTTTATTTTTAACGAAAGCTGAGCTTGTTCCTTATCCTAGCCTTTGGAGATTTACTGATATGACCCTTCAGATCAGAAGCGTTTACATTCCTGCCCCAAGAAACAAGGGAGAAGGGCCTACGGGACAATGTCTCCCAATCATTTTCTTTCTCCCCAGACTTTGCCTCTCTTTTCTGAGACCATCAGGAAGGAAGAAAGGGAACACAATTTGTTTCTGCACGTGAAATGGTTCTTCGTGAAGAGGAGAAAAAAAGGCGTTTCAGAAGGAAGACTTTACTTACCAAACAGACTCTAAATCCAATTCGCCTCACAAATAAGTGCTCATTAAGCTGAGTGACAGAGCACAGACCATAATCATCTGAACTGGCAGCAGCGCTTTCAACTTCAGCCGTTTCTAGAGCCCTTCTTCCTGGCAGTGCTCTGCCCCGCAGCTCTCCACGGGCTCCAAATTTCTGCACTGCCCTCTACTGGGTGGAGTAACCTCACTTCGTCCAATCCTGCGGGCGTGGAGCTCTTTCCAAGGCCCAGGTTGTGGGGGTTTTAAGCAGAGGGAGAGGAGGTGAGAAAGGAAACAGAAGGATGGGAATGGGGGGTTGCAAAAGGAAACATGAGTGGGTAAATTTGAAGATATCCCAAGAAAGCTCAGCCTATAGGAGCCTCAAGTCTAAAACCCCAGCTCTTCCTATCACAAAATCTTCACTCACTGTACAAGTCTCCTTCACACATTACGACTGACGCCCACTTCTCCTGGGCAAGCCGTTTTAAGGCACCTTATGGAACCCCCCAGACCACTCTCATTGTGATTCACGTAGAGATGGTATCAAACTCCGTAAGCAGCAGCCTGACGCACTTGGCTTTTGGTGTCCGAGCTGGCAGGCTCACTCCACGGCTCCGCTCAGCGACTGGGAGCTCACCTACCTATTCGAGCCCTGCCAAGCTCTGAAGCTTTGCAGCTAAATATTATTACCGCATTCCTGCTCAATGAAGACGACATTTTGGACAGATACTTTGTCAGCTGCGCTACTCAGTACATGGCAAACAGGCTGCACGTGCACCTGGAGGATCTTTCTTTCCCCTGTGATCTTACAAAATTAAAAATCACATGAGAGTGGAACAGCTTTCCTGGCACACCTACGGCAACCTGCAGACAACCTCCATCTCATCTGAGAAACACTCCTGTGCTGCATTACAGCCATGCCGTGCTCCACTCCTTAAAGCCACGGCGATGGCAGGAGCCAAGGGTGCAGTAGCAGGAAGGTAGCTCGGCTGGGCGCCTCGGGGGCTAGGTGAGAAGTTTCAGGATCTGAGCCGTGCTTTTGGCTCTGTTTTACCTTATTGTGACACAGTATGCACGTCAAATCTCTTTTCTTTGGAGGGGAGGGAGAGGACTTTGTCTTGCCTAAGTAGACTTTAAGCTGTTGAGGGCAAGGCCTGGTTGTCCTACCTGTCTGAACCTTAACAGTGCCCTACACAAAACAGCCATTGAATCTACTCGCTGCATGGAGCACGCTACACCGAAGCAGATACTGGCAAAACATTTCTCATTATTGCATGTTCGAATTCTAAAGTAAGTTTCAGTTCCACCATTCCTTCATGCTTTTGTTTTACACAGAAAAGCAGCTGAGCTGCCCTCCCCCAGCTACTTATGCCAAACCTTAGCTTAAGCTCAGTTGCTCAAAAATTGTTTGAAAGAGGATTCAGAGCACAAAGTGAATCTCTGTGCCAAGTCTTAAAATTAATGACGAGCTGCCAAGGATGGCCACACATCACCGTAAGGCGCGGTATTGCCATCAGGTTAATTCAGTCTGTGACCACACTGGATTTTGAAAAGAATATTCATTCTCAAAGCAGGAAATACATTCCCTCAACTTCATTCCAAAGGACAACTCACAAGTCCTTGCCAGCCCCTGTCCCCTTAATCATTTGACAGAAACATTTCCTTTTCATTGTCACAAAACATCATGCTTACTTCAAGAGGAAAAACATCCTCTCTCTGCTCCAGATATAAAGAAGCATTCTGGCTGCAAAACCCGTACGTCATGCTGCATGCCCCCAACCGCATGTGCTCTGGAAGCGATACATTCATGTATTGATTCCAGGTTCAGGAGTCAGTGGAATTCTTCACAAAGTTTCTGTATTTTTGCACACGCCTACACAGATGAATTACTGTGCAAGGTACATATTAGGGTACTTGGCTCCCAAAAAAGACAAGGAATAATGAGAAGAAAGACTTCTTGGCCTTTTAAACAGGTCTTGGTTACTACTTTAGGAAACATCCTCTTTGGAAGAAAGCGCACTTTGCTGCGGCCTGCTTAACACATCATAAGGCACACGTAAGACACTGGTTTGGTACTTGAGGCTTCAAATCTCCCTCTGGGCGAGCAGAACAGCATCCCAAGCCTCCCGCACTGGCTGCTGGCAAGGTTATAAATGCAGCTGGGGATTTGAACAGTTACTTTTAAATCTGATTACCCTGCAGAAAACCCCAGGGAAATTCTGTTTTGAGAATGCAAAACCCAGTGTTGCGTCCATACAGTCCTCTTAGTGGAAGGATCGTAGATTTCTCTGAATGTTTTTCTCACTTTAAAATTATTACTGGTCTAAATCTGCTCCCCTTCTCGGAGATCTAAGTCATACGTTAAGTCCTCTCACCTGTTCTGTCCACGCTGACCTGTTAGCTTTGAGGAGAGCGGCTATCTTCACGTTAAAACTTCCCACGCTGGTTGCTCGCTCGCTTTTCTTGCCATTTTGTCCCCCAGTTTTGAGCTAGCTGCCAGGTCTGAGCCTTGCTCATCGCGTTCCTCTAGTGTCCCCTCGCCTCCCTCTGGCCTCAGAGCACTCCTGCGCTCGGGCTTCCCAGGCAGCACCTCCTGCCGGGCCAGCCCGCCCCTGCACCCGCTGCCTGCCGCTACCC